GCCACCGTCAATCATCACGTTATTTAGCAATATTAACAATGTGACATGTATAACAAATCGTGTAGAATTGTTCACCAAATCGTTGAATAATTCGCTTCTTCTTTCCGCAATTTGTGAGAACAAAGTACTATGTAGCAATTAAGATCAAATTTGTTTGTAGAGGTGACTTCTTTCAGACAATAAATAACATTTTAAAATCATAATTTGACAGAGCTCGAAATTTTGCAGCCGCCATGTTGGAGCGTGCTTCCCCTTTTATAATTGCTTTAAAACCCGACGGCCTTTGGCTTTGCGTATATGAAACAACTAAACAAGACAGCATATAATTTCAGTGTATCTTTATTATTGACTCCCTTAAGAATGGCGAAGAGTATATGACCAAGTTTAGTGGCCTGAGGTAGGCCACCGTTCACTTTCTTCCAGGAAGAAAATGCCGTTGCGAGTTTTACACTTCGCTCCCGTTCAGTAAGAAAAGATTTAATCCATCTAATAATATAGCCGGTGGACTTGGAGTTTTCTAACTTCACCAACAATGAAATTGTGATAAACGAGATCGAAACCTTTCTTAAAATCGGCAAAAATAAGTTTAAAGCAGCATGAATCAGATTGCGGAGGTAAACCAATGCCTGAGTGGTTGATTTCCTAGGCAAAGCAAACTGTTTGGTATCCAATTTACTGCTTACTTCACCATAAACGAATCCAACGTAAAACCTTCCATCACTTTACCAATCTGGGACGTAAGAGATATTGGTCGTAAATCGTCCGCGATGGATCCTGGAGGGAATATTTAATTGTAGGCACGCTTTAATTGTTGTGTGAAATTTCCTTGTACCATTGGAGTACTGTGGAACATTAAATACCTGCGTCAGTCCAGAAATTCTTTCTGTTTATCATTAAACCCAGTATTGTAGGGTTGAGATCTTCGGTAACGATGACAACTGCATCAGGGTGACGACAGAGGAAAGGGTCCACATTATATCTAATATGATTATATAATTCAGACTTTCTACAGCGCCTGATGACGTGGTATGGTAAATAACTGCTATGAGCATGACGGAAATTGACCTGGGCAGATATCTTGGTCTCACAGATAACCATAGGGATTCAACTAAAGGGTTTTCTTTAATTCTCCTACATTTAATAGAAGACCTAATGTATACGCATACACCCCCACGAGGAGCTATTGCACGATCGTTCCTAAACACGATAAAATTATACAAAGACAAAGCAGAGCCAGGGATAGATTGTGATAGCAATTATTCTGTTAATCAAATAAAGTCAACATCGTTAACACGAGCTACTATCGTCAATTCGTCAATCTTAGAATACAAGGAGCAAACATTTGCAATTAAAACAGTTGGTAATTAAGCGTCGTACGTGGGAGTTGGCAGTGACGTGGATGGTAGGGTTAAAGTTGGACTTCCACCAGCGGCTTCGGGTAAGATGGGCATGTCTGCGGATGTTGGTGGAAAGGGACTTCTGTTGAAGGTTTCGGCCAGGGATGTGGAAGCCACGCTTGCTGGAGGTAAGTTGGTGAGCGCTGTTTTACCACTTGGTAAGGTAAAAAAAGAAGTAGGGTACACAGCGTTGGTCATTTTGGGCCTTAAAGCCACCATATCATGGGAGAAATTGTCGTGAGAAAAATCACATAGATCTTTTTTAAATTAAACAAGACCCTTTCCTTTGAAGGAAAGGAGAAGGAATTCTATGTTCATATTCATTATGGAACGGCTTTGTATACAGGAAGTCGTATCGGTTCCCTTTAACGCGCAAGCCGCGGCGAGGAAGGAAAGGGCAGGAAATAAAGCTTTTAGTAGAGTCAGCAAAGCGGTTATTTTTAACTCTATTGGTGGCAAGGTCGAGTTGTAATTTCAAATTCAAGTTTTCGTTCTTCAGTAGACTAATCTCTTCTTTTTGTTCAATAAGACGATTGCCTTTAAATTCGATGATGTTTGTTGTTTTGGAAGGGACGCATCAGACGTTAAATCAATGTTATTTATTTAGAGCCAGCGCATTGATTGTTAGGTGGAATTTTATTATTGGTGTGGGCAGGGCCTTTCAGGGGGGAGGGGGGCAAAGGGGTAAATTTGCCCAGGGCCCCCAGTTTAAGGGGCGCCCTCAAATTTGCAAAATTTGAAACTTTTTTTATATAAATAATTGTAAATTTTACAGATTTTGGTTGAAAAAAATAGGATTTTACTGGATTTTGTTCGGAAAATTTTTTTTGAACCTTAATAATGCCCTTTCCTGGACTTTGGGGGAAGATTTGACAGAATTCTGATGGTCAGGAAACGGCATTATAACGTGTCGAAATTTGCAATTTGGTTAGAATTTAGTAGCAGTACTTAAATTATGCAATGCAAACTACTTCCAGAGATTAATTTAATCCCAATTCTGTTCTCTACTGATTTACTGTTCTGAGCACATTTACAACTTAAAGCTCTTTTATACAATAACACACGCCCCCACGCATATGCATTTTAAGGTTTCCTTGCCTGGCTGCCAAAAGGGCATGTTTCAGCATTATTTCATTATACTTACATTACTCATGCTTCTTGTGCAAACAACTAAATTGCGTACACAACTTTACATCAGTTATCATAACTTCAACTATCTAATTTGCGCCGCCCTCGTGATTCGTGAAGCATAATAAAGGGCATATTATAAGGGCATAATACCAGCAAAAAGGGCATAATTCCCGCGATCGCTTCGATCGAAACCTGACCAATATTCCGGTAACGAGACATTGCCTGTGATCACTGATAATGTTTCTCTATGAACGATTTCGTGTGAGCTGTGAAGTAGCAAATACGGTTAGGCAAAATAGTCTGTAATTTAATATATGTCGCCTATGCGCTTAGTCTGTTTTATACTGTAGCCTATAAACACGTCTATTCTTGGCGGAAGTAACCATATTTTTTCGAGAATGTGTTTTTCCCACCCACTTTCAAAATTCGGCGCCCCATTTTCATTTTTGCGCCCCCCAAGAATTACCAGCTGGGGGGGCCGTGGCCCCCGGCCCCCCCCCCTGCCAGCACGCCACTGTTTTTGCATGATTTTGCGGAATTCTATGTTGCAGGATTCAGATTTTCAGACACCTTTTTACAATATCGGGGCCTAAAGCATTCTGAAATCGCTTTAGTATGTATTTCGCTTGTAAGAGGGTCAGAAATTCTGAACCCTGTGTCTCGAGATTTATCATTTTTGCATGATTTTGCGGAATTCTATGTTGCAGAGTTCAGATTTTCTGACACCTTTTTACAATATTGAGACCTAAATCCTTCAGAAATCACCTTAGTATTTGGCTTGTAAGGGGGTCAGAAATTCTGAACCCCATGTCTCGAGATTTATCATTTTTGCATGATTTTGCGGAATTCTATGTTACAGGGTACAGATTTTCTGAATCCTTTAAAGGATTGTATTTTGTCAGTGAACTTTGATGTGGGAAAATATTTCAACTAAATAGTGTAATTGTGCGAAAAGTGTTTACATTTGAAGGTTTTTCGCAAAAATAAAGTTTTTTAGCCAGAAATACGACTTGTCCGCATTATTACGTTTCTTTTTTAAATTCTGCGGATAAAATGTAACTTTGGAAAATCCCAATTTAGTTTGGAACACGTTTTATATTAATTCAGCATCGAACAGTACTAGTTCTGCAAGTGTTATGTTAGTTGTGTAATTGTACACTCTGTAATATGTTAAGATGAAAATGTTCTAGAGTGTGTATTATATAATTTCCATACCAAGCGCAAGCAGAAAGATGTTGTTTGCCGCGGCTGGGTCTCGAACCCGCGACCTTCGAATTACTAGATCGACGCTCTATCTACTGAGCTACACGGTCAGACGGATTTAAGACCGGAAATTATGAAATATATGCTGAATGTCATATTAAACATACTGGTTTATATTAATTCAGCATCGAACAATACTAGTTCTGCAAGTGTTATATTAGTTGTGTAATTGTACACTCTGTAATATGTTAAGATGAAAATGTTCTAGAGTGTGTATTATATAATTTCCATACCCAGCGCAAGCAGAAAGATGTTGTCTGCCGCGGTTGGGTCTCGAACCCGCGACCTTCGAATTACTAGATCGACGCTCTACCTACTGAGCTACACGGTCAGACGGATTTAAGACTGGAAATTATGAAATATATACTGAATGTCATAAACATACTCGTTTATATTAATTCAGCATCGAACAATACTAGTTCTGCAAGTGTTATGTTAGTTGTGTAATTGTACACTCTGTAATATGTTAAGATGAAAATGTTCTAGAGTATGTATTATATAATTTCCATACCCAGCGCAAGCAGAAAGATGTTGTCTGCCGCGGCTGGGTCTCGAACCCGCGACCTTCGAATTACTAGATCGACGCTCTACCTACCGAGCTACACGGTCAGACGGATTTAAGACTGGAAATTATGAAATATATGCTGAATGTCATAAACATACTCGTTTATATTAATTCAGCATCGAACAATACTAGTTCTGCAAGTGTTATGTTAATTGTGTTATTGTACACTCTGTAATATGTTAAGATGAAAATGTTCTAGAGTGTGTATTATATAATTTCCATACCCAGCGCAAGCAGAAAGATGTTGTCTGCCGCGGCTGGGTCTCGAACCCGCGACCTTCGAATTACTAGATCGACGCTCTACCTACTGAGCTACACGGTCAGACGGATTTAAGACTGGAAATTATGAAATATATATATATATATATATATATATATATATATATATATATATATATATATATATATATATATATATATATATATATTAAGAATAAAATGTTCTAGAGTGTGTATTATATAATTTCCATACCCAGCGCAAGCAGAAAGATGTTGTCTGCCGCGGCTGGGTCTCGAACCCGCGACCTTCGAATTACTAGATCGACGCTCTACCTACTGAGCTACACGGTCAGACGGATTTAAGACTGGAAATTATGAAATTATTTCATAATTTGCAGTCTTAAATCCGTCTGACCGTGTAGCTCAGTAGGTAGAGCGTCGATCTAGTAATTCGAAGGTCGCGGGTTCGAGACCCAGCCGCGGCAGACAACATCTTTCTGCTTGCGCTGGGTATGGAAATTATATAATACACACTCTAGAACATTTTCATCTTAACATATTACAGAGTGTACAATTACACAACTAACATAACACTTGCAGAACTAGTATTGTTCGATGCTGAATTAATATAAACGAGTATGTTTATGACATTCAGTATATATTTCATAATTTCCAGTCTTAAATCCGTCTGACCGTGTAGCTCAGTAGGTAGAGCGTCGATCTAGTAATTCGAAGGTCGCGGGTTCGAGACTCAGCCGCGGCAGACAATATCTTTCTGCTTGCGCTGGGTATAGAAATTATATAATACACACTCTAGAACATTTTCATCTTAACATATTACAGAGTGTACAATTACACAACTAACATAACACTTGCAGAACTAGTATTGTTCGATGCTGAATTAATATAAACGAGTATGTTTATGACATTCAGTATAAATTTCATAATTTCCAGTCTTAAAATCCGTCTGACCGTGTAGCTCAGTTGGTAGAGCGTCGATCTAGTAATTCGAAGGTCGCGGGTTCAAGACCCAGCCGCGGCAGACAACATCTTTCTGCTTGCGCTGGGTATGGAAATTATATAATACACACTCTAGAACATTTTCATCTTAACATATTACAGAGTGTACAATAACACAACTAACATAACACTTGCAGAACTAGTATTGTTCGATGCTGAATTAATATAAACGAGTATGTTTATGACATTCAGTATATATTTCATAATTTCCAGTCTTAAATCCGTCTGACCGTGTAGCTCAGTAGGTAGAGCGTCGATCTAGTAATTCGAAGGTCGCGGGTTCGAGACCCAGCCGCGGCAGACAACATCTTTCTGCTTGCGCTGGGTATGGAAATTATATAATACACATTCTAGAACATTTTCATCTTAATATATATATATATATATATATATATATATATATATATATATATATATATATATATATATGTATATATATATATATATATATATAGTTTTTCGTTTTACCTCAATAAACCACAACAGTCTGTTTCATCCGTATAGGAATCATCAGGTGGTGAATAATTTCGAAATTGTTGGTTGCTTTTATGCTATCGAAAGAATGTGCGGAATGCGTGTAGGCGAAACAATGCTTAGGTGAAACAATGCATTCTTGGGTCATTAGGTTTTGTTGGCATTAGATGAAAATTAAAGAAATTGAAGCACGTTAGCGCCCTGGCATGCATTTTTGTCAGGCGTAACTTCATCTTTTCGTCATAAAAAAGACTCAAACAAAACGGAACTTTCGAAACATATTTGGAAATTGAAAGAAAACAATCAGGATTATACCATCAAATGGTCAATTTTAAAACACGCTATTTCGTATACAGGGGTATCAAAACGCTGCAATTTATGTTTGGAAGAAAAATTTTGCATTTTGAAAGACATAAACAAAGACAATTTACTCAATAAAAGAAGCGAAATTTTCGGCAAATGTCGTCACAAAAACCGGTTTCGAGTAAACAAGGTCGTTAACAAACCCTAATGACCCAAGCATGCATTGTTTCACCTAAGCATTGTTTCGCCTACACGCATTCCGCACATTCTTTCGATAGCATAAAAGCAACCTACAATTTCGAAATTACTCACCACCTGATGATTCCTATACGGATGAAACAGACTGTTGTGGTTTTTTGAGGTAAAACGAAAAACTAT